GTGATAGATGTGAGTATGCAGTGTATGATAACATCATCCTTGAAAATATCTTTGTAAGATTATTATCAGATTTATTTAAAAAAATATTTAATTACTTTAAGTAATTAAGCAAACAATCTCATAACCTCTGACCTATCAGGAGAGACAACAGTGACACTCAATGTCCAGAACTGTTGCCTGGCACAAAAAAAAAAATTATTAAAAAAAAACTAAGCAAACAAATATTACCATGGTAACATGAAAAGTTTGAGGTGACTGACCTTTTCTGTTGTCACATCCTGTATCTCATGCAATAGTTGGTAAACTAATAACGATTCTTTAATGGTCAAATCAGCTTCATTTTGACGTTGACGACGCCAGAAACCACGACGTGCAACAAGCTCATCTTCAAGAAGTGCAACCTAAAGTGAAGAACAAGTACATTGCATTAAACAGGGTAATTTCACTGTACTTCAAATATACTTTGGCAGAAAATAGCAACAAGATCTGAATTTAGGAGCTAAGATTTGAATATACATGAGTAGACATGATGTTGATGTTCTTAAGTTCCATTTTCGCATCATAAAATCCACCATTTTTAAAGTCATCGTTTATTTGTAAAAAAAGTGACACAAGTTTAGATTACAGTTAAAGGGTCAATTAATAGATAAGAATAAAATATTCTTTTTTTTTTTGTATTGTAGGATCTTTATTAACTGATACATGGCCATCGGCCCAAAACAGTAAATACAAAATATTTAAATTATTTACAATATTTCAGCTGTTTCCCTTCTAAGTTTCATAGCATTGAATAGTACAGGTAAACTTACAGCTCCGAGAGGTGGTTTCCTTTTCCTATGTCCACCTGATGATAGTGTCACAGGTATTACAGTGTTTGTCTCTGGGTTTGTTCTGACACCGTTGATGGGACTCAGTTCACCACTGACTGGATCAACAGCTTGCTTACCAATCATTATAGGTATCAGACCTGTACAGATATTTTGTGAATTTTAATGAAAAAATATAAAAATTTAATGAAAATTTGTTTTGATGAATATTCCACTATATATTATAGGGGTTAGCAGATCCAAAATTGAGGGACAGTTTATTCAAACGTACCTTGCCCATCAGGATCTTCCATGGTTCCACCAAGTGGTTTGATCTCACTTGTATTATTGTCTCTTTCAGCGCCTAGGATTGGTACTTGCTGACCTGAACCACCGGGGTCAACCATAGTAGTACCCACTAGGATTGGCAATAATTGACCAGTAGCTGAGAATTCATACATACCTAGGGAGGACAAATACAGATCGATAAATAGACCACATGCTTACAACAATAACAGGCAATAATAAAATTTTTCAATAATCTGTATGAAAAAAAAAAATGTTTCATGTGTTTCACTGTAACCTGTCTAAGATTGGTTCATTTTACGAAGAATTATTACTTATAATTATTGTTTTCAAATTTCTGAAATGTTTGTATTCCAACTCCTAAGATGTACTCGGACAATAGAGGGCGCTGTACTTACCAGCACAGCCACCAGTAGCCGTCAGTATGGAAGACCTCTCTTCTCGTCGCGTTAAATCATGACTAGTTCTCAACAAAGCTCCTTTGCATTTATTCCTAGATTTCATTAATTCTGCCATCGCTGTCTCCAGTAAACTCTGTTCATGTCGAGTATTACCCGATTCAGGTCCTACATTAAAAAAAATTCCATCATATTTTAATAATTTGTTATTAAACACAGTGGTGCATATAGCAAGTTAAATAGCCATTTGTGAAACAGGATACAAGAGAAATTGTGATAAATACTGGATAAACAAATGACAAAATACTGCAAAGTATGACAGGAAGTTTAAAACCACCATCACCACAATCACCATGACTACTACCACAGAGTGAATGTTAACAACATAACATGCTATTTAAACATATTTTTGAATTTTCTTTTTGAATTTTTGAAGGTAGTAGACATTTATAACTGTTAGTCAACATGAGAGAAAAAGTTAAGCAGGTTTTGTGAGTCAAACAAAACCACATAATTGTGTTGTAGTATCAAATATTCTAGGGTCATATAAAAGACACAGATTCATAGCATTTTTCACTTGGGTGCTAGGGAGCCACAGTGGCTTTCACTGGGGTCCTAGGGAGTCGCATCAACTTTAACAATTTGTTCCCATGAATGTGTGAATAATTCCTAGCAGCAAAAAAATTAGCGTTTTATTGTTGTTTATTGTTGACAAGAAAAATGACCAAAATACTTACCCATAGCTGCTTCCAAGTAGTCCCTGATAGCCTCGGTTGTTCTGACTTCACAAGCAAGTACGCTAGCATCCAGTAACCCTTGGTAACCACCATGTGATGGGACAGCGTCATTATCTACGATACATCCACCGTGAACCACAACTGATTTACCACTTAGAGGTTCTACGTATTTATCACCAGGAATAATTGGTACCGTTGCATGGTTGCCTTGGTTACCACTCATTGTTCCACCAACAGGAATCACATCACCTAGAAAGTGAGTAGCAATGATAAGTTAGATAACCTACATTTGCAGTTTTCAAAAACAGCATAAATACTTTGTCCACCCTTCTTAGCAACATTCATTCAAATTTAACTTTCAGTCACCAATATTATTATTTGAATAATTGTGTAAAATTATCACAGCACAGCAATAAAAATAGTACAATTTGGTTCCTCCATATAATGTTCACACACACACACACAGACTATGGTCATATGATAAAATCTGAAGTAATTTATTCAAAATTATAGTTTGTTTATCAGTGAATAATTTAATCCTATATAATCTCACCTGTTTCTGGGTCAAAGGTTACAGCTAATATTGGTACTGGCTGCTCAGTACCTGGATCCATCATTATAGAGCCTGTTTCTATGGCGATTGGAAGACCAGTCACAGGATCCGTATGGGTACCACCAACTGGATATGTGAGTCCAGTCTGTGGATGAATGGTTACTGCAATGATGGGTACGTGTAAACCACTCACAGGGTCTGATATGGCACCGCCAAGTTTTAGATCACTACGTTTCTCCAAAGGAGACAATCCGGTTTCTATCGGCATGCCAGATTCTGGATCACTCGGATATGGAATGAAAGGAATCAGTGGTTCATCAGATCTCACAGCTTCCCCTGAAAGAGGAAATAGCAAAACCACATTGTATTAAAAAGTCAATGACTTTAAATTTATAAATTTACTATTAAAGAACATGAAATTAAAATAAATGAACAAAGTGCTAAAAACACAATTTAATTTAATTTAATTTAAAAACTCTTACCTGTAGCAGAATCAGCAGTAAACACAAGTCTGGATGTCAATGGATCATATGAAACACTGCCCTCTATAGGCAAAACATGTCCAGTTTGCGGGTGCACAAAGTAATGTGGAGGTACATGTGTTGTAGTTCCATCTGGTAGAATCATTTTAGCGTTTGTGTTTGGTATAATTAGACCACTCACTCTGTCTTGTTGTATCAAATCAGTATTCAGTAGAGTACCATCAGGACCTAGAAATATTGCATTTAGTAAATAAACCAAACTACACAAAAGCTGCCATAGATGGTATTCCAAATGAAAAAAATAATTTACTTGTGTTAGAGAGAGATTATCAAGAATACAATCAAATGCTGCGAGAAAATAAAAACAAAACAAAAAACTGCTGCATTATTTGTTATTTTCTGACTTAGCAGATGTACATAGAGCAAAAATGTACAAGCGTACATATGTACTAACAATATTTGCATTTGAGATTTGAGACTGAAAAAAAAAGAAGACGTTTTTGCTTTTTGTCTCAAGAAAAATTGAAACATAATGCAGTGACACAATTTTATTTAATTTTTTTGTATTTGGATTATGCACTTTATTTAGCAGCACACATAAACCAAAAATTGCATTTATTTTAAACCGAATCTATAAAATACGACTTATCTTGTCCAAAGACACAATAATTTACAATTCATTTATATAATATGTTAAATCAGCTATGGTATATCATTGTATACTAACCAAACAGAGTGTCAACTGTCATTGCTTCGTTATTTGGTCCAACCAAGACAGCACCAGTGGCTTGTCCTAACACTCCCCATGTACCTAGTCTTTGTGCTTCTGCCTGTACTTCAGCTGACATACGCTGAACTAAAGCACCAACTCGTCGTACTACATGACGTGGTACAGTGTCATCGTATTCATCATCTCGTTTGATTTCACCCCTCATAACCTTTCCATTGTATTCATCTAGTACACGTTTAGATTCCCGAAGAGCAGCCACATATGCAACCTATTAATACAGATAATAAGTCAAGTTAAAAAAGCAAGTATGATTTAAATAATTAGTTTTTGAAAAAGAATTGGAATTACTGAAAATGTGCACAAAAACTATTAAGTGTTTCTGCAAAATTTGAATTTTGGATAATTTTTTTTCTCAAAAGAGTAAAAATACACTTCTGTAAATTATTGCTAGTTTAATTTTACTATGATGACTTTAGGATAAACATAGTGTTTCAACTTTATCATGGTTTTTTCCCCATACAAGTTGTCATGGCTACCTGTCCAGTGTTTGTATATCAATCACAAAATAGATTGGCAGTAAAAGACCGTTACCTGGTGTTCCTCCCTGTAATGTTCGTCTTCTAACATCAACTGTCTCTGTCGTCTCAGAACGGCTTCAAATTGTCGCCCCAGTTCCTTGCGTCTTTCAAGTTCAATATCCAAAGCATTACGTTTCCTTTCGTATGCCGCTAAGTCATCCTTGGTTGCTAACGATGACCGTCCTTTGAGATTCATTTTAGCAACCCACAATCCTTTGAGAGACTCTGCCTGGCCGTTTATCTTCTGATACAAGGCCTTTGCCTGAAAACAGAAATAAAGCAAAGAAATGTGTAAACGAGAAAAAATAGAAAAGTCTGAATGGTATAATTATCTTTGAATTCAACTGTTAGATTTCACAAAATGGCAATAGTTTCTTATCTAACCAAAGAAACATCAATAAATCTATGTTTAACTTACTTCTTCTTTCTGCCTTCCCAGTTCAGCAGTAACATGCCTGGCCTGTCGTGCGAGGTGATCGTATAATTCTTGTGAACTGAATGCTTCTAAGTCTAACTGCCGATCATAGTCCATGAATTCATCTTTCTTAACATCATCAATAGGATCTGAAATTAATACAAAGACGTGAAAATATTAGAACTGTGTCAGTTTGCGACTGCAACAAGCAAAACGCCACCCAGACATTGAATATAAAAAAGTCCACAAGGTCCTCAAAGAATGTGAACACCAATTACAGAAGTTGTCTCTTACCATGAGCCCCATTAGCCAGAGCCAGAACACCAAAAGTATTGGTATCGCCATTCTCAATGGCTTGTCGATGTTCCATATTTCTATGATATTTCTTGACATGATGTACGGCAGATCCCTTAGATGATAAATCATCAAAATTCTGCCTTTGAGTAACTATTCTGTATTTGGGTCGGATGTACATTGATTTGTCCCAACCATATTTACGGAACAAAAGCTGAAAATAAAAAAAGAAAAAAATGGTAATAATGGAAGCATGTAAACACCAACATATTATTCATAAAACAACCCCATAGTGACGACAATGCTTGATATTGCATTGGCGGCTCCTAACAAATAATTTTTTTTTTAACAAATTATTTATTGGTCTGATCTGAATTTCACAGGTAGGGTATTTTCTCGATGTTACCTCATGAGGGTGCCAAAACAGAGTACATAAACTTTGCTGGTTCCCTCCTCAATTGTCATGGTGTACCAAGCCACAAGAGGCCAGTAACTAGCACCAGTTCTGGTATTCTGATTGGTCTGTCACTTTCTCGTTGCTTGTTCTATTTCCCTTGGTTAACTGATGTTAACGCTGACGCTCGTGGTCCCAGAACAGGGGTTTTCTTTTAATCTCAAAAGTTGGGCAAATATAAAACTGTTTGTTTTGTTATAAATTTGCACAGAAACAGCGAGAAATGCCAGAAACAGCTCAAATATGTAAGTCTAAGCAGGCAGAATGTATGGGCGTGGCGTAATGAAGACTTGTTTACAGAAAACAAATATTAGAATGTTTTCAAATTACGTCACTCAGTCACCTGACTTTGAGCCAGAATCCTGCCCCAGTGGAACAATATGGCAAGGCACGCAAGGGATGCTGGGAACCAGCAAATACATAAACTCGATGTCACCTCATGAGGGTGCTACAACAGAGTACATAAACTTACCAGTGCTATAACTAATACAATCATGATAAGTATGGCTCCTGCAAACATACTAGCAATGAGTATCCAGTCTGGTGTCAACAGGATATCTTGTTCTATCGCAATACCGTTCTGAATAATGTATCTTGGTGTTGTTGGGAAGAAGGGACCATCTTCTGAACACTGAGCATTTGCAGCCATTACTCGTACATACTAACAAAACAAAAAAAAGTCAGTTTTAATAATTTATTGTGTTTTCATGGAAAACATTTCGTCATCGCAATTTGACAAATTTTTGTAAATTACTGAGACATCATATAGACACTAGTTCAATGTACCAACTGTTATGATCATTCCAGATGAAATGTGTTACTTGCAACACAGTGATGATTTTGTAAAACTAGTTTTTGTCACAATTGCATGCATTTTCACTTTATCACATCTAAACATTAACATTCTTATCATTACTGTGTTTCAAAACAAAGTACCACAAAATGAGGAGTCAAGAATATT